GGTGCTTTCTGTCCCCTGCAGTCTCACCACAGACGTCTGATGGATGATAAGGATAATATCCAACCTCTAAGTAGGCCGAGTCCCTTCCCAGACACAGCTTGGATTCCACTTTGTTCTTCACACCAACAGACCTGCATACTTCAAGTGCAAATTAAGCCTCTTGCAGTAATATGCCTATGGCATGACTGTAAGGCAGTAAGATGGATTCCATAAGCCACATGCAAAACCCGTCTCCGTAATTTTATGGTGAGGTGTCCTATGTATTTAAGTTTATCCACTGACAAAAATTGTATATTGGGATAACTTTTAAAGAGCAACTGAAAAATAAAATTTTAAAAAAGATTGCATTTTAAGTACTCAGTTAAATGATGGGGTCTATTAGCTGCCCTCTGGACAGCTTTCCAATCTCTAGACGCTCAGTTCTAGAAACTCAAAGCAGAGCAGTTGGAAAATCTAAGATTTGGACTTTTTAGAAACCGGGTTGCCTTAGAATTTAACTTCACGTTGTTCTTCCCAAGCCCCCACTTAACCACAACTTCTCAGAAGTCCCCGGACCCAGGAAGGTGGTCCCAATTGTGTCATAGCACCGTGGAAAGTAGAGATGCCAGCGACACTCATGGAGTGGATAGCCCGGGAAGATAAACGTGAGAATGGGCATTGCACTGGTTTTGGCTAGTTCGAACTCGTGCTCTCCTCTCTGACTCTGAAAGTGTATTTGACTTTCATTTCTTGGAAACAATGCCACCATCTGGGATATGAAGCCAGGTGGGAAGGAGCCGCTGCTGTGTGCTCTGCCTGGGAATGCTGACGATGGGCTTCCGGTACTGTCAGGCCACTGGGTGAGTTGGTGCGGTCCAAGCTCTGCACACTGTCGCCCTGACCAAAGCACTTACGATGCTGTACAGTTTCCTGAGAGGTGTGCACCTGGGAGGGTCCTAGCCACGTCCCACTGCCAAGGCACCCAGAAAACAGATGGCTCTCTCTCATCTTACATCCGCCATTACCCTCTCAACTCCAAAGTAAGGAGGTATTGTACAAAGAGAAATCCTTCATGGTTACTTGAGATGCCCACCCACTCTGAACACTGCATGAGTGGCCCCCAGCACCTACAGTCTCAGGATGGACACTCCAGTTGTCCCTGGACCTCCAAACACCCCACCAATGTCTCACACTGGCTTTTGCCAAACCCTCTTCAATGAAACATTTCCCTGTCTCCTTCGGGAAAGCATCATTACGGGAATTACAAATTCATACAGAATCAGACCCAGATACATTAAAAAAAATCAGCCTTGTCATTATCACAGTGTTTTCTCCCCCAGAATCCTGCAGAAAAGCCAAATACCATTTCTGGCTGTGTCATTGGTGCTGGCCACACACCAGAGAAAGAGTCCTCCAGCCTTTGGTTTGGAAGCTGACTCAAGCTATCCATAGTCCATCCTGGGAAGCTACTCTGCTGTCACCGCAGTCCAGGCCTGGTGTGGTGGTCTCCTTTCCTGTTTTTCTGTGGGGGGGCTGACACACGAGAAGGTGACCACCCAGAGCTGTCATGGTCGGCACCAGGTGACGGGGAGCTGGGAGCTCGGCTGAGGGGAGCTGGGTTAGGCAGGGCATCCTGGAGGGGGACGGGAGGTAGTTCACAGTGCTCTTCACCAGGAGAATCCCAGACACCTGTATTCTAGGGTCAGCCTTCATTTTAACTGAAAGTTAAGTTCACTCTTAATTTTCACCAGCACAAAATGTGCCCTGAGGCAGGTCACCACCAGCCCTCTCTAGGGCTAATGTCACTCTGTACACACCACTGACCGGTCACGTGACTGGGAACGTCTCAAAGCCTCCTTTTCACCATCCGCGAAGTGAAGCTGATGACGGTACCTGCCTCACCTGGTTGTCGCTAAGGTAGACGAGGCAAGGAGATATACAGCAAATGTGACAGCAATGGTCGCTACACTATTGTCAATCAAAAATGGAGGTGTCAGATGAGGCTGCCTCCAAGGATTCTGCCAAATCGGTGATTCCAGGGCAGGCGGTGCTGGGCTCCCTCCAGCCTCCTGGAGACAGTCTGCTGACCGGAAACAGAAAGCTTTCCCATGACGGTGCTCCCTCCCGAGGCGGGGCAGAGGCGGAGCCACGGCAGCCACGCAGGCCCTGAAGGAAGGGCTTTCGTTGCGTCCTCTCGCCTCTGGGATGGAACGGAGGTGTTTCTGTTTGGAAAGCCCATGGCGTCTCAGATGAAAGACTCTTCACAGGATCACAGCGAGAGGATTTGCTGTCTTAATATGAATCGGAATCTATAATAGAAAGGCAGGAGACAGCTGGGCTTGGGCAGTGTGCCTGCGGTCCCAGGTACTCAGGAGGCTGAGGCGGGAGGGTCACCTGAGCCCAAGAGGACCACTGCACTCCAGCCTGGGTGACAGAGCAAGACCCTGACACCCTCCCTCACAAAAAAAAAAATAAATAAAAATAAAAAACATAGGGGAGAGGCTTAAAACCCAATTGTTCTGGCACACTTCTGTAATCACCCAGGAAACTCAGGAAACTCAGGGCCCAGGAGGCTGAGTGTCTCTACCTGGGCCCCTCGGGGATGTAGGGAACACAGCAGGTCTCCTTGCTCCTGCCCTCTGTCCCACACTGACTTCACTGCGTGTGTAATAATACCGAACGCATTATTCGTCATGCTTCCACTTACGAAAACCTTGAATTGTGAAATATAAAACATACAGAAAAATGCATAAAATTTACAGACGGCGTGATGAATAATTGTAAACAACAGTGTGATTCTTTCATTGACTCAGGAAGCAGGACCCTGCTGTTCCCCAGAAGTTCTCCTCCCTTCTCATGGGGAGCCCCAGTACTGACTTCTATGTGGAACCCTTCCTTGTTTGGCCTTGTAGTTTGGAACTATGCATGTGTCTTTAAAATAGGATTTAGTGTTGCTGTTTTAAAAAGATTGTAAAGTGGAATTCCACTGTTGATGTTCTTTTGAGTCATTGATTTTGCTAAACATGATGTTTTAAGATTAGTCCACGTTGCTGCCTGCAATTCTAACTTGTTCATTCGATTGCTGTATAAGGGTCTGTCTTTCTAAATGTGCCATAATCTTGGACTCATCCTGCGTTTGATGGCTATTCGAGTCATTTCCAGCTGTTAGGAGCGTCACTGGTCCGCGTGGCCTGCGTACGGGCCTGCGTGAGCGTCACTGGTCCGCGTGGCCTGCGTACGGGCCTGCGTGAGCGTCACTGGTCCGCGTGGCCTGCGTACGGGCCTGCGTGAGCGTCACTGGTCCGCGTGGCCTGCGTACGGGCCTGCGTGAGCGTCACTGGTCCGCGTGGCCTGCGTACGGGCCTGCGTGAGCGTCACTGGTCCGCGTGGCCTGCGTACGGGCCTGCGTGAGCGTCACTGGTCTCTAGGGCCGTGTCTCTAGGCTGTGCTCTCAGCAGTGGAACTGCTGGGCCCTCGGATGTGTATTTCCTCAGCTCCCCTAGACAGTCAACTGTTCTCTAAGATGCTTGTATCAATTTTCGGTCTGCTATGGTCTGTATGATTGTTTAAAAATACCTGGTGCCCCTCCTGTGAAAGGATTACATGTTTCTACCTTGTTGGACCCGAGAGCGGCTGTGTGACTTGCCCGAGTCAATGACATATGTACGGCAGAGGTCTGTGTCACTTTGGGGCAGAAGCTCCAAGAGCCAGCACATCCCACACTCTTCCTCGACCCCGTGATCCTGAAAGCGTGCGCAGAGATGGGCAGGCTGCCTGCCGGGGTCCCTGAGCAGAGCTCTCGTCTGCCATGGTGGCCAGGCAGAGTGAGCTGGGACAGAAGGGGCTGACGGACCGTTCCTGCCCTGACCCACCTGCATGCCTAGGCCAGGGCACAGGTGTTCCCTCGATGCTACTTCCCACGTGGTTTCCAGGCTCCTGGAAGGTCCTGCAGCTCCTCTTCCTGTTCTTGGTATGAGCTGCCCCCAAGACAGTGGGCTGGGGTGTGCTGTTGGCGTCTCTCTTTCCTTCTTGCTTCCTTTCTTATTTGCGTTTTGCTTTCCTGCCCTATGATTGCATCAGGCCCCGGACTCCTAATGGTGGTGCCCCGGGCTGTATTCCAGGTGATGCCACGGGTGGCCCGTCCGTCTGAGGAATGACCGCTGTGATCTGAGACATAGGCTGGAGGGTGCAGGGAAGGTGTTTTCAAGAGAGGGAGTGACAGTCTTCTGCTGGGCCTGGAGGAGGACAGCCCGTCAGTCCCCGCGGGGCTCACGTGCTTCATGCGGCGCCCCTTTCATTTCTGTTCCTTCTAGAAATTCTATCTGATTAGGTAAAGGTCTAAAGAGTTGGACATCAACAGCAGGTTCTTAGAGGCTGGGTAGCCCTGAAGGTGCTGCGAGAGAGAGGGGTTTGCCGGGGGTGGGTGGGTTTGGTTTGAGTGGTCTGGGAAGCGTACTCAGGGGGTTTTGCATTTAAGGAAGATTGCTTTCCAGCCCCCCGGCCCCACGCTGTGCCCCTCTGCTGCTGGAGCAGAGGCCTGGCCATCCACTCCAGGCGTCCGGAGGCAGAGCTGGCATTCAGCAGGGGAGTGAGTGGCTGACAGCAAGGACAGACGGGGAAATGTCAGCTTGCTCAGCACACGGGGCTCTCGGCCACCCACAGGGTGGCTCCTGGTTCTGCCCTTGCTGTGATGTTGTTTTGCGGGGGAGTGTGGGGGACAGCCCTTCCTAGACACCTGTGCCCGTGCCCATTCACCACCTTCTCAGCCCTCGTGGGTGAACTGGTGCCGGAGACACTTTCGACAAGGAACAAGTAAAACTCTGTCTCTATCAAGAGGGGCTGTCCTAAGGCCTGGCCCCTTCAGGCCTGTTCACTGGAGCTGGGGGCCCAGTAGCAAAGAGCACACTTGCTGTGAGAGTGTTTCTAAATGGGGTTGTGCCCTTTATGCACCGGCGTGAAGACCCCTGATGTAGTGGCACTGTATGGCACAGGAAGTGAGATGCAGAGGTCACGCCACACAGCTAGAGCAACGGACACTGGGCTGAGCCCCAGAGGGTGGCTGTGGGTCGGGAAGGGGCAGGCCCCTCGTTGGGCCCCTGGAGCGTGTCGTAGAGGTTGGTGGCATTCTCTTGGGTTGACTTTAGCTCTGGACCGCTTGTGGCTTCAGAGGCCACACAGCTATTGGGCACCCGCTCTGCCTGTGCCCGCTCTTGGTTCCTGCGAATGCCTTGTTGCTGGGTGTGCCTGCGGTGGCAGGAGTGTCACGGGCAGTACAGTGACGGGGAGATGCCGTGGACCTTCAGGTGCCTCAAAGCTTGTGCAAGAAGGGGGTGTCCCAGGAAGGATGCAGATGGAGGCAGCAGCCATCCTCATGCTTAAAGTTGGTACAAACCAGAGGGGCCAGGCAGGCCTAGGGATGCCTGGCAAGGCCAGGCTGGTGCCACAGGCTCTGGCCGGAGACTGAGGAACTGGGCCGGACACAGAGCCTGTGGGCGCTGCCTGGAGTCCTGGAAAGTCGTAGGGTGAGGTTGCTCCTTGGCCTCACATATTTTCCAGCCTAGTCTAGCAGTTCATCCTGTGGCTGAGTCTTCTCAGCGTGGGCCTCTGTGCCCCCTCCTCCGTCCTGGGTGCCCTGTGAGCACGCTGCTTCCTGGAAGACCCATGAATGAGCCTGCACTTCCTGCGGCCCCCAGCCCACACCCAGGAGCTGCCTTTCTTCCCCGAGTGTTTGCTCCCGGCTCTGCCCTGGGTTTGGTAGCTGCTCCATAGAACTGCTTTGTTCCGCATGGAGCCCGTGCACCACCCCACCATTGTGAATAAGTCACAAAAGCACAGCCCTGAGTCACCACTGCCTGGCCAGGCCTCCTGCCCTTCCCTTCCCAGGGCTGTGAGCTCATCCCGCCTCCCGTTTCCTCTCTGCACATACTGGGCTATTCGATGATTAGACTTGTGTTTCTCTTTTGATTCTCTTCTTTTCTCTCCTCCTCCCCCGTCCTTTTCCTTCTTCTTTTGGTGTTGGTGGGGGCGGGGGAGAATGAGGTGTTAGGGAAGTGAGCAAGGCACCCTGGAAACAGCCCCCCGATCCTGCAGAGTCAGAGTGGGGCCTGTGAGTGCACGCTGGGCGGAAGGGACAGACGTCCTGGGAAGCAGGCTTGGGGGTTTCAGTTCTGGGAAGGAGGTTGGATTGAGTGGCCTTGAAGCCTGCTTCCCTTCCTCAGACACTGAGGGTCCTGGGGAGTGGTGTGGCTTTGTTCCTTTCATGGTGAAGATGCTCTGAGGGGGGTGAGTAGCGGAAATCCATGAGTCCCCATTCATTCATTCATTCACTCATTCGTTCACTCCGTCGATATTTACCAAGCCCTGTGCTGGGCACGGGATGTAGAGTGGGCAACACCGGCCTGTGTCACGGAGTGTGCAGCCTGGTGAGGGAGGCGCACCCTTGTGGGTGAGAAACACGGGTAAGCGTGTGCAGACGTGGAGAAGGCGTGGGGGGGCAGAATGTGGCTTTACAGGTGCGATTGCAGGGAGGACAGACTGCGATGGAAGGCTCAGCCTGGAGGTGGTCCTGTTTACCTGATCGAGAGGGCGTCTGCTGGCGCCTTTCCCTGACAAGGCCGATTCGGAGGGCAGGCTGAGAGTCTGGGGTGGGGCTGGGGGAGTGAGGGGGCTCAGAGGGACACCTGTCTTCTTCATAATTTTCCCATCCAAGACTTGCAGCACGTCAGCTTCTTCCAGGCTCCACCCACAGGCAGACCCGTGCAGCTCCGCTGAGGGGTGTGCCTGGTGCGGGTGCCCTGCCACCACGTACAGCCGAGGGAGGCCGCAGGGAGCCTCCCTGGACTCGTCTCTGCCTCTGTTTCTTCCCTGTGAGACATGGGAGCTGAGACCTGCCGACTGGCTGTGCTCCTGCAGGGACTGGAAAGGGCTTAACCCAGCTTGGCAGAGAGCGCTGAGTGTGACTCCAGCATCCCGGGCATCCTGATTTTGAGAAGCACTTTGGAGCTGCTAGACCCGCTCAGGGCCTACATAATCGCTCAGGTGGCTCGCACAGTCAAGCACGCGGTCCTCGTCCCTGGCCTGGCCTCTCCTCCAGGGACTGGAGTCCCCAGGCCCAGGAAGCCATTTGGCTTCTGCCTGAGAGCGTTCTTTTGACCTCCTCTCTCTGGGTCTCTTCTCCCTCAAGGACGGCCCAGATGGTTCACCCCGGTCTTCCCCTGTCCAGCCACGGCTGGGAGTGGAAGGAATTCTGACTGTGCAGGGGACAGCTGCGTGGCCAGGTCGGACGGGAGGCCGTGCGGAGCCAGGGCTGGGGCTTCTGCGCTTGGCTGTGGCTCCCCCAGTGTGGAGGGGTGTCGGCGTGGGCGCTTGTTCTGGAGGGGACCGGGCAGAGGCGCCTGTGGTGCGGTGTGAGGACTGGGGGCCAGGCCAACCTACCAACCACACTGCCGGGGCTGGGCTGCTTTGGCCCTTGCTGTTTTATTATTTTTTAATTTAATTTTAAAAATTGAGCTATGATTCACTTATTATAAAATTAACCATTTTGAAGTGTGCAATTCATGTGTTTTAGTGTATTTCAGAGTTGTGCAGTCATCATCATTAGTAATTCCCAAACATTTTTATCACCCTGAAAGAAATCTTGTGTGCAGTAGCTCTGTCTGCCCTCTATCTGCCCTCTATCTGCCCTCTATCTGCCCTTCCCCCAGCCATGGCACCCACAAATCCGGTTTCTGTTTCTGAGGGGCCCTGATTCTGAATACTTCATATTTTCAGGTGGGATCACACAACATGACCAGTCTCTTTCACTTAGTGTGTTCTCATGGTTCATCCATATGGTAGCATCGGACCTTATTCCTTTCCATGGTGGAGTAATAGTCCAGTGTGTGAATAGACCCTGTTTTATTAATGCACTTATCTGTGGGTGGACATTTGGGCTGCGTCCCTGTTTTGTGGATTGTAGGTAATGCTGCTGTGAACATTCATGTGCAGGTTGTTTGTACGAATGTCAGTTTCATGTCTCCTGGATGCATTGCTGGGAGTGGAATTGCTGGGTCACGTGGTAATGTTACGGTTAATTATATTTTATTTTATTTTATTTTATTTTATTTCATTTTTTTTTTTGAGACAGAGTTTTGCTCTTGTTGCCCAGGCTGGAGTGCAGTGGCGTGATCTCAGCTCACTGCAACCTCCAACTCTCAGGTTCAAGCAATTTTCCTGCCTCAGCCTCCCGAGTAGCTGGGATTATAGGCATACACCACCATGCCCGGCTAATTTTGTATTTTTAATAGAGACAGGATTTCTCCATGTTGGTCAGGTTGGTCTCGAACTCCCAACCTCAGGTGATCCACCTGCCTCGGCCTCCCAAAGTGCTAGGATTACAGGTGTGAGCCTGGGAAACCTCACCCTTAGTGTATCTCAAACCGTGCCAGCCTGGCAGTGTCCAGTGTGTCGGCTGGTGGCCCCATCCACACGATGGCCTCGTCCCCTCCCTTAGGGTCGTCTCTGTCTCCTGTGGGTCCCATCAGTCAATGCCTAGTCAGCTTATAAATCTAGCTTTCTATACCAACCCCAGCCCCCTAAACCTTAGAAGTACGTGGAGCTTTTGTTTTCTTTGTTGTATAAAATCAGGTCTGCCACTCAGCTAACTTAGTTAAGCTGGAAGTTTAGGAACCTCACTTTGCCAGAGACTACCAAGAAGAGCCTATGTTTTGCTTTTTTCTTTGAGGATGACTTTTAACTATGCGAAACTGAATTTCCAGGTACATAACAAGCCCATGTCACATTCCTGGTCATTGTTATTTATTGATTGTCGACCAGCAACTCCAATCTTGTTTCTCTTCTGTTTGGGACCCAAACAATGCAAGTGGTGGAGGGATTTTCTTTGTCAGGTCCTTTCAGGCTGAAGTGTGGGCACATTTGATGGTGGTGAGGGGAATGCACAGATGGTGGCATGCTTGCTGCCCCGGGGCGTCATCGCTGCAGGCCCTGGGGTGGGTGAGCTGTTCAGGCAAAGGGACTTGATCAGGGGAGTGTCAGTGACAACAGTGACGAAGACAGAGTGCCCCTCCTTAGTGCAGCACTTGGTGAACAGGAAGGACTTTCACGCACGTCTTGCCGAGGGCCCTCTGAACTGGATAGCATCATCATGACTTAACAGGGGTGAAATGACTTTCCCAACTAGAGTGACCAACTCACCCCAGTTTGCCTGGACTTCCTGGGTTTTAGCACGGAACATCTCACATACTGGGAATCCTTTCGGTCCCGGCTCATGGGTCACAGACTATTTAGTGGTAGTCTGGGCCTTGAACTTCAGACCTTTTCACTCTAGCACCTCTGCCCCTTCAGGTACTTGAAACTGTTCACTGAGGGCTGCCTGGGAGCCCCTTTTGGTGCTAACCCCCTTTTGTAAAGTTTGTAATCACATTTTCAACCCTTACCACGTCCCTAGGAGAAGGAAGTCTTGCCATATGCATTTAATGGAAGAGGACCCGAGGCTTGTAATCAACGGATAACTCACTCATGCAGCCAGGAGAGGCAACGTTTGAGCTCAGCCCTGACTCCAAAGCTCTGGCTTGAATGCATGTGGCCTTCACCGCTCCGATTGCAGGAGGGAGGCGGAGGATGGCAGCTCAGGGCCGCTCCTGCCCTGAACCAATCCAGGGGGCAATGGGGAAGTGAATGGAAAACCAGTGCCTGCCGTTGTCACCACGTCCCCACGTCACGTGTCCTGCATTGGCCCCTGTCCTAGGAGTGGGTCTGAATGAACCTGAACACCTTCATCAATTCCGGTGCTCAAGTCTCTCCTCAGAGGCATGAAACAGGCTACCCAGGGCTGGCCACAACCTCTGGGGGACTCAACAACCCCCAGCACCCCAGCTTCAGCCCGCTGGCATCCAGGTCACACCCCTCACCAGGATGTTGTGCAGCTGAATGTGCCAGGCTGGGGGACAGATGCTCCTTCTCACTTGACTTGCTCCTTCATTCTTGGTCTGCATTCAACCCCTGCGAATTTGCCTAGAGAGGCCTTCTCTGTGGAGTCAGGTGCTCAGCACCTGCCTGCTGCACCCACGTACTCTATTCCCTGCCCTCTTTGGAGGTAAGAAGGAAGTAAATCTACTTCTTATGAAATTGCCAAAGCCTGGGCACTCACTAATGGTTTACTTTTTGGCTGAAGGACATTTTTCCCAGCCCCACCTTCAATACAGGAGATGTCCTGGGGCCTGGCAGCCAGACACAGACAAGCTCTGTGTGGTGCAAAGAGTGCTGGCCGCAGCCTGGGCCTCACTCAGCTTGATCTCAACTTCTCCCTAAGCAACTACAAGGGAAGCCAAGGTCGGAACGCCCTTCCCCAGGTCTGCTCACTCGTAGCAACTGTGTTTGGGGGACAACGCCCCCCATTATTTGCCCTCGCAGCTGTTCTAGCACAGAAGGGGGTTTACCAGCACCTACTGCTCAGTAAACGGAAAGTTTTCCTTCTACCTTCCACTGCCTTCCGAGAGGTAGAGGAGGAGGAGCGGCCTTGGGAAGCCGAAACTTCTACAGACACTTAAGACACAGCCAAGGGGCGAGGAGGGTCTTGATACCAAGGCAGACAGGGCAGAGTGCACAGGGCAAGGTCTGAGAGACTCCAGCTGGGCTGAGAGGGGTGCTGGCCATGAGGATAACCCTCAGAAAGGACAGATTCCAAGATGGAGCTCTTGACACATTCCAAGACCAGCCTCTCTAGACGAGAGTCGCCCAGGGCCCTGAGACCTGAGTGGCATCCTGTGTCCTGGGACATGGCCGGGCTCTTCTAAATGGTTTCCCCAAGAGAGGGGCGCTGGCCCTGGACTCTCCTCCAGCTGGCTTTGTTGGAGCCCCCTCAAAATGGGATCATAAGCAGAGAGGTCTAAAAACCATCTGTGGCCTCTGAATAGAGCGTTTTGGATTGCTGAAGCCTTTCCTCTCCCAAAAAGCTTTCTCCAGAGAGGCCAGAAGACAGTGGCATTTAGCCCTGCCTCACCGAAAGGGATACTGCTGTTAGGGAGGTGGTAGGGGTGATGGAGGTGATGGTGGTGATAGAGGTGGTGAATGTGGTGAGATGGTAGAAATGGTGGTGGAGGTGGTGGGGGAGGTGATGGAGGTGGAGGAGGTAGTGGGGATGGGGGAGGCAATGGAGGTAGTGGTGATAGAGGTGGAGAAGGTGGTGATGGAGTTGAAGAAGATGTTGGCAGTGCTGGAGTGGAATTGCTGGAGGTGGTGGAGGAGGTGGTGCAGGTGGTAGAGGTGGGGGAGGTGGTGATGGTGGTGGAGGTGGTGGTGATGCAGGTAGTGGAGGTGATGAAGGTGATTGTGGTTTTGGTGGAGATCAGGAAGCTGATGGAGCTGGTGGTGGTGGTGGTGGTGGAGATGGAGGTGGTAGCAGTGGTGGAGGGGTTGGAAGTGTTGGTGCTGGAGGTGCTGGAGGTGGTAGAGTGGTATTGGTGGGGATGGGGGAGGTGATGGAGACAGAGGTGGTGGTAAAGGTGGTGAAAGTGGTGAAGGTCATGGAGGTGGTGATTGTGGTGGAGGTGGTGACAGTGGTGGAGGTGGTCTTGGTTGTGTTGGAATTGGGGAGCTGATGGAGCTGGTGGTGATGGAAGTGCTGGAGATCATGGAGGTTGTGAAAGTGGAGGAGGTGATGGAGGTGGTGGAGGTGGTGGTGGATATGGTGGAGGTGGTAATGGTGATGGAGTTGGTGGAAGTGGTGGAGGTGATGGAGGTAGCGGAGGTGGTGGTGGATATGGTGGAGGTGGTAATGGTGATGGAGTTGGTGGAAGTGGTGGAGGTTATGGAGGTGGTGGAGGTAGTGGTTGTGGAGGTGGAGGTGGTGATGACAGTGAATGTGGTGGAGGTAAGGGTGGTGCAGGTGGTGGAGGTGATAGAGGTGGTCATGGTTGTGATGGCAATGGGGGAGGTGTTGGAGCTGGTGGGGATGGTGTTGGAAGGGCTGGAGGTGGTGATGGTGGTGGAGGTAATGGAAGTGGTAGTGTTGGATTTGCTGGAGATAGTAGAGTAGTTTTGGTGGGGATCCTGGAGGTGATGGAGCTGGTGGTGGTGGTGGTGGTGGAAGTGGTGAAGGTGATGAAAATGATAAAGGTGATGGAGGTGGTGATGTTGGTGGAGGTGGTGGTGGTGGAGGTATTGTTGGTGATCGAGGCAGTGATGTTGGTGGGAGTGGAGGTTGTGGAGGTGGTTGTGGTGGAGATGGAGGAGGCGATGAAGTTGGTGGTGGTGGAGGTGCTAGAGGTCATGGAGGTGGTGAAGGTGGTGACAGTGTGAAGATGGTGGAAGTGGTGATGGTGGTGGAGGTGATGGAGGCTGTGGAGTTGGTAGAGGGAGTGGTGGAGGAGGTGATGATGTTGGTGGAGGTGGTGGAGGTGAGGTGGTGCAGGTGGTGGAGGTGATGGAGGTCATGATCGGAGGTGATGAAAGTCATGGTTGTTGTGGTGATGTGGGAGGTGATGGAGCTGGGGGTGGTGGAAGTGCTGGAGGTGGTAATGGTCATGGAAGTGCTGGAGGTAATGGAAGTGGTGGGGCTGTGGGTGCTGCAGGTGGTGGAGGTAATTTTGCTGGAGATTAGGAAGGTGATAGAGGGGGTGGTAGTGGGTGTGGTGGAGGTGGTGATGGAGGTAAAAGTGGTGACACTGGTGGAGGTGGTGGATTTGATGGAGGTGATGGAGGTGGTGAGGGTGGTAGAGGTAATGGTGGTGGTGATGGTGGCTGTGGTGGGAATGGGAAAGGCAATGCACCTGGTGGTGTTGGTGGTGGTGGAGGTATTGGAGGTGTGCAGGTGGTGTGAGTGGTGTTGGAGATAAATATAGTAGAGGTACTGCAGGTGGTAAAGGTCGTGGAGGTGATGATGTTGGTGGAGGCGATGGAGGTGGTGGAGGTAGTGGTGGTAGTGGTAGAGGTGGCAATAGAGGTGGTAAAGGTCATGGAGGTGATGATGTTGGTGGAGGTGATGGAGGTGGTGGAGGTAGTAGTGGTAGTGGCAGAGGTGGTAATGGTGGTGGAAGTGGTGGAGGTAGTAGAGGTGTGGAGGTGGTGGTGGTGGTGGTGGTTGTGGTGGTGAGGTGGTGATGGTGAAAGTGGTAAAGGTGGTGGTGGTGGAGGTGGTGATGGTGGTGGAAGTGGTGGAGATGATGGAAGCAGTAGAGGTGATGGAGGTGGGTTGGTGGTGGATGTGGTGATGTTGGTGATGATAGAGGTGATGGTGAAGGGGATGGGGGTAGGGGGGCAGAGATGGGGTGGTGATGAAGGTAGTGGTGGACGAGGTGGTGGAGGTGCTGGGTGGTGGTAGAGGTGATAGAGGAGGTTATGGTGGTGGAGGTGATGGAGGTGGAGGTGGTGGCTGTTGTGGGGTGGGGTGATGGAAGTGATAGAGTTGGTTGTGATGGCTGTGGTGGTGGAGGTAGTGGTGGTGAAAGTGGTGACGGTGGTGGTGGAGGTGGAGGTGGTGGTGGCTACTGTGGTGGTGGGGGTGATGGAGGTGATCGAGGTGGTTGTGGTGGTGGAGGTGGTGAAGGTGGTGGTGGAGGTGGTGGTGGTAGAGATGGTGGTGGAGATGGAGATGATGGCTGTTGTGGTGGAGTTGATGGAGGTAACAGAGGTGGTTGTGGTGGTGGAGGTGGTGAAGTTGGTGGTGGAGGTGGTGCAGGTGGTGGTGGTTGTGGTGGAGTTGATGGAAGTGGTAGAGGTGGTTGTGGTTGTGAAGGTGATGGCGGAGGTGGTGGAGGTGGAGGTGGCGGCTGCTGTGGTGGTGGGGGTGATGGAGGTGATAGAGGTGGTTGTGGTGGTGGAGGTGGAGGTGGTGAAGATGATGTTGGAGGTGGTGGCTGTTGAGGTGGGTGGAGTTGATGGAGGTGGCAGAGTTGGTTGTGGTGGTGGAGGTGTGAAGGTGGTGGTGGGGATGATGCAGGTGGTGGCTGTTGTGGTGGAATTGATGGAGGTCATAGAGGTGATTGTGGTTGTGAAGGTGGTGGTGGAGGTGGTGGAGGTGGAGGTGATGATGGTAAAGGTGGTGGTGGAGGTGGAGGTGATGATGGTGAAGGTGGTGGTGGAGGTAGTGGTGATGGAGGTGGTAAGGGTGGTGGTGGAGATGGTGGAGGTGGAGGTGGTGGCTGCTGTGGTGGTTGTGGTATGGAGGTGGTGGTTGTGGAGGTGGAGATGGTGGCTGTGGTGGTGGAGTTGATGGAGATGATCGAGATGGTTGTGGTGATGGAGGTGGTGAAGGTGGTGGAGGTGGAGGTGGTGGTGGGCTGATGGAGGTGCTGGAGATGGTGGATGTGTGGTGATGGAGAGGGCAAGGGAGGTGAGCAGCCAGAAAGAGAGGGAAGTGGTTGTTGTCATGCAAATGGGACAGCCTGCCCTGTGTCAGGTCAGGAGAGCTTGAAGGAACCTCAGGGATCCCTTATCCCACCCCACCTGGTGACATTAAATAGCCTGCCCAGAGCTCCATGAATAACGAGGGAGAAAATCCATGCTGGATTCCAGAGCACCTGAGTCCCCTGTGGCGTTTTGCAGGAACATGAGCCCCTGCAGCTGCTTCTCTAGAGCACCTGAGTCCCCCATGGTGTTTTGCGGGAACATGAGCCCCTGAATGAACCCCTGAATGAGCCCCCACAGCTGGTTCTCTTTGGGACCGCACACGGAAGTGCGGAGCTGCTGGCCTGGCTCCCTCGACACTCACGGTCCTTCCCCACCCAGGCGCAGGTGGGGAAGAGAATAAGGCTGGGCAAGGAGAGGGAACAGGAGGGGAAGCTGGCAGGCGTGCTCAGCAGGCAGCGGCTCTTCCCTGGGTGCGGGGAGGTGACGTTGCCATGAGTTGCTGCCAGGCTGTCCCCTGGCCATTGCCTGGGAAGGCTGCAGACAGGGCAGACACTGTGCGCTGGAGGGGAGGCAGCACTGTGTGGCTGTGGGGCTTCTGTTTCTGCAGGAGAATCTGCTCCAGGGTCAAGCTGTCACCAGGGTGTTAAAAGGGAGCAGTCAGTCATCTGAAACCCTCTCTGCTGTCACTGAGAGGCATTTTTTCAGTTTGTCAACTTATTCACAGAATTGGCAGAGGCTGTAAAATTCTCGCAGTCTAGCAACCCTTGACCTCTCCAATTTAGAGAGGAACAAATCTAATCACTTTGAGGCTTGAAGACTTGTTGGAAGCCACATAGGTGGTTTGTGGCTGAGCCGGGTCTGAAGGCCTCGTGACCCTGAGCCCAGTGTCCTGCGGGATCCACCGTCCACGCCCGGCCCAGCTCCCGCTGCCGCCTCCTTCCCTCTGCATCTGGCCATGCCACCCTCCCAGGGCCAGATACAATCCCAGCCATGCTACTTAATGAGAAATTGCAGAGATGTAGTCATTAAAGTGAGGTCCTTGTCTTGTTTCCTAATAAAATGGAATGATCGCTTACCAAACATTGTCCATGTGAGATGATGCTGGCAAATAGTTCTCCAGTGGCTGGATCATGGCAGGGCCTCAGGAGCCTTGGTAACCATCATTACTACCATTGTTATCAACCAGGTCTTCTTTTTTAGTTGGTAGTTAAAAAGCCAGTACACTGCCCACTAAGAGATCCTACCTGTTGATGAGGGAATTCAGTATTTAATTCTTTGTGGAAAATGACCTTCATTAGAGATTTCCAAATGTCGATTGGAAGATATTTTGTTTTTAAAGAACTACGTTTCCCCTTTCTTAACGTGAGTGTGAATATATATGATTGCAAAAGACACAAAATACAGGCATATTGGCTTTATTGCACTTTGCTTTATGGGCTCTGCAGATATTATGTTTTTTATAAACTGAAGGTTTGTGGCAACTCTGCACCGAGCAAGGCTACTGGCGCCGTTTCCCCAACAGCATGTACTCACTTTGTGTCTCTACGTCACATTTTGGTAATTCTCACAATATTTCAAATGTTTTCATTATTGTATCTGTTTTGGTGCTCTGTGGTCAGTGATTCTTGATGTTCCTATTGTAATTGTTTTGGGGTGCCACAACCACACCCATGTGAAGACAGCAAACTTAATCGATAAATGTGTGTGTTCTGACTTCTCCACCAACTGGCCACTCCTTGTCTCTCTCCATCTCCTCAGGCCTTGCTAGTCCATGAGATACAACAATATTGAAATTAGGCCAATTAATAACTGTACAATGGCCTGTTAAGTGTTTGAGTGAAAGGAAGAGTCTCATATCTCTCACTTTCATTTCTTATTGATTTTAAGAGATGGATGTCGTACTCTGTCACTGAGGCTGAAATGCAGTGGCGCGATTGTAGCTCAATGCTAATGCAGCCTTGAACACCTAGGCTCAAGAGATCCTCCCACCTCGGCCTCCTAAAGTGCTGGGGATTACAGGCATGAGCCACTGCGCCCAGCTACATCTCTCATTTTTAATCAAAATCTAGAAGTGATTAAGCTCAGTGAGGACGCCATTTCAAAAGCCAAGGTAGTCCAAAAGCTGGGCCTTTTCCAAATGATATAAAAGTGACACAGCCTTATTGCTGATATGAAAAATGTTTGAGTGATCTGGATAGAAGATCAAAGCAGCCACAACATTCCCTGAAGCCACAGCCACAGAGAAGGCCCTAATTCTCTTCAATTCTATGAAGGCTGAGAAAGGTGAGGAAGATGCAGAAGAAAAGCTTGAAGCTGGCAGAGGTTTCTTCGTGAGCTGTAGGGAAAGAAGCCGTCTTCATAACATGAAAGTGCCAGGTGAAGAAGCCAGTTCTCCAGAAGATCCAGCTGAGATCAGTGATGAAGATGTCTACACTAAACAACAGGTTTTAAGCATAGATGAAACAACCTTCTGTTGGAAGAAGATGCCACTTAGGACTTTCAAAGCTGGAGAGGAGAAGTCAGTGCCTGGCTTCAAAGCCTCAAAGGTGAGAAGATTGCAAAATTTTTCTCCTGTTCTGTAGGTTGCCTGTTCACTCTGATGGTAGTTTCTTTTGCTGTGCAGAAGCTGTTTAGTTTAATTAGATTCCATTTGTCAATTTTGGTTTTCATTGCCATTGCTTTTGGTGTTTTAAGCATGAAGTCCTTGCCCATGCCTATGTCCTGAATGGTATTGCCTAGGTTTTCTTCTAGGGTTTTTATGGTTTTAGGTCTAACATTTAAGTTTTTAATCCATCTTGAATTAATTTTTATATAAGGTGTAAGGAAGGGATCCAGTTTCAGCTTTCTATGTAACAAACCCAGCACCATTTGTTAAATAGGGAGTCCTTTCCCCATTTCTTTTTTTTTTTTCAGGTTTTCCAAAGACCAGATAGTTGTAGATATGTGGCATTATTTTTGAGGGCTCTGTTCTGTTCCATTTGTTTATATCTCTGTTTTGGTACCAGTACCATGCTGTTTTGGTTACTGTAGTCTTGTAATATAGTTTGAAGTCAGGTAGCATGATGCCTCCAGCTGTGTTCTCTTGGCTTAGGATTGACTTTGTGTACATATGCCCTAGAACTTAAAGTATAATAAAAAAGCAAAAACAAAACAAAACAAAAACAAAGCCTCAAAGGACAGGCTGACTCTCTTGTGAGGGGTGAATGCAATTTAAGTGACTTTAAGTTGTATCCAATGCTCATTTAGCATTCTAAAAATCCCAGGGAAGTTAAAAATTATGCTAAATCTATTCTGCCTGTGCCCTATAAATGGACCTACAAAACCTGGATGACAGCACATCTGTTTACAGCCTAGTTTACTGGATATTTTAAGTTCATGATTGAGACCTAGTATTCAGAGAAAATGATTCCTTTAGAATTATGACTGTTCATTGACAATGCACCTGGTCATCCAAGAGCTCTGACATCTATGTACAAGGAAGTTAATGTTTTCATGCCTGCGGACACCACATCCATTCTGCAGCCCATGGATCAAGGAGTAATTCTGACTTTCAAGTCTTATATTTTGGAAATACATTTCACAAGGTTATAGCTGCCATAGACAGTGATTCCTCTGATGGGTCTAGGCAAACTCACCTGAAAACCCTCTAAAAAAGTATTCAGCATCCTAGATGCCATGAAGGACATTTGAGATTTACTGGCGGAGGTAAAAATCTCAACATTCACAGGAGTTTGGACAATGCGGATTCCAACTCTTGTGGATGACTTTGAGGGTTTCAGAACTTCAGCAGAAAAAGTTACTGCAGATGTGGTGGAAATAGCAAGAGAACTAGAACTAGAAGTGGAGCCTGAAGATGGAACTGAGTTGCTACAATCTCATGATAACACTTGAATGGATGAGGAGTGGCTTCTTAAAGATGGACAAAGAAAGTAGTTTCTTGAGATCAGATCTACTCCTGGCAAAGGTGCTGAGAACACTGCTGAAACATCAGCAAGGATTTAGAATATTACAAAATCTTGGTTGATAAAGCAGTGGCAGGGTTTGAGAGGACTGACACCAATTTTGAAAGAAGTTCTACTGTGGGTAAAATGCTATCAAACAGCATCATATGTTACAGAGAAAACTTTCGTGGAAGGAAGAGTCCATTGATGTGGCAAACTTCACTGTCTTATTTTAAGAAATTGCCACAGGCACCCCAACCTTCAGCAGTCACCACCATGATCGGTCAGCAGCCATCAACATGGAGGCAAGACCCTTGTCCAGCAAAAAGATGATGACTCACTGAAGGCTCAGATGCTTAAGGTACGAACACTGGTTTTTTAGACACAGTGCTGTTGACCACTTAATGGACTACAATACAGTGCAAACATAACTTTTTTATACGCACTGGGAAACCAGAGGTTTGTGTGACTCATTTTATTGTGATGTTCGCTTTATTGTGGTGCAGTAGGGCGGGCAGAAGTTTATGTTATAAACACACAGGCAGACCTCGGAGATGATACTGCAGGTTGATCTCTGATAGTGCAGGTTCAGTTCACCCTGCAGTATCTCTGAGGTCTGCCTGTGTGTTTATAACATAAACTTCTCTCGCTAAGGAGCGGATGCAAAGTGTTAGCTGTTTACAATGAAGAGAACAGTTTGCATTTGGCTCCAGAATGGGCTTTTGTTCTTGGAGATTTGCGACTTTCCCTCGTGTGTTTCACATGGGATTGGGTGGCCCACGGAGTCTCAGCTGTGAGCTCTTTGGCCCTATAGAGATGAGGTTTGCTGACCTCACTCCAGGGAGGAAGAAACCTTCACCCCAGCTGGTCACGCAGGGGCAGGTGCTTCCAAGGTGGCTTTGCTCATTTAGTTAATATTCCCTGAGCAGCTACTCTGTCCATGTCCTCTGTATGGTGGGTGTCATTCTGTTAGTTTCCATAACTCAGTGAATAAATTAACTTTGTCTATGAACAGAATGGCCGTTCCTATGCCCAGGCCGTGTGGATTAATAGGAGTCTTGCTTCCAAGTGGTAGAAACCCAACTGAAATTAGTTTAAACACAGGAGGAAGTTTATTGGTTCAGGTAGGTGGGAAGTTTGGGGGCCGGTGTTTTTGGCATTGCTGAATCCAGGGATGCAGACGAAGACTGCCCCGCTCCAGGCCTCCCAGAAGTATTCGGCTTCATTCTAAGCTGTGGCTTCACCATCTTTCTGCAAAGATGGCCATAGCAGCTGCAGACTTCCACAGTGCTCAAAGCTTGCAATTCCAGAGGGGTTAGGGAGGCTCTGCCTTCCACATGTGAAACCCTGCAGAGAAGGACTCGTGTTGCCCCAGACTGGGTAGACACCGATACATCCCTGAAGGAGGGGAAGCAAGGCCCTTGGGTGATAGCCTCCTTAGAGTCTAACGAGGCTGGGAAGAGGCAGTTCCTGAAAGAAAAGCTGTAAGGCAGATGGAACATAGCCACCTGCCACACCACGGACAGGGACCCAGGTAGGGGGAGAGCCGAGGGCGGCAGAGCTCAGGACTGCCGGGCTGCTGGAGGCCGGAGAAGCTGCTTCCTGGAGCCAGGCAGGCACACTGAGCCCCAGAAAACACGCAAGGCAAAGTCAGTGCTGTGAGGCCAGGGATTGGTGGACACTGGACAGGGGGCAGGGGGCCAGCAGCAGGGAGTCTCGGGGACCCCGTGCAGCAACCAGGAGCCCTCGTTGTGCTTTCAGCTCCTCCTGGGGAAACCACAGAGGGCGAAGCCTGAGCTCCCAGGTAGAAACAAGTGAGCAGTTGAAGTAGGAGACGAATTCGTGAACCTTCCTGACGAGGAGTTAGCGGCGAGAGATGAGGCCAGATCTCTAGCATTCAAAGTGGCTTTTAACCTTTGGGTTGTGATCTGTGGGTTAAAAAACCCTGAGATTCAGATGACTTGTTTATGAGTCACTGTGCCCTGTCCTTCTCTCACCAACCCTTGACAGTTTCACACCCACGATTATTTCAGTATTTTGATTCTTAAGAGAATTTCAATTTGGGCAACTAAATTTTTTCAAAATGCCAGAAAATTCTCAGTGTCAAATATGATACCTGCTTTCCTTCTGAAAAGCGTTAGTGAAGTTTTTACCTTCTAGTAGACTCAAGTATAGAAACTACCTCCTGTGT